AAAGAGGATATGAAATCGTGATTTATTATGGTCTTTCGACATATCTATTATTTATTAAACATACTAATCGTGATTGGGACTGGATACGAATATTTTTTTCGATCTCGTATTTGGTCGTGCCTAATGATTATGCAAGGATTAGTGCGACCGGGCACGATCATATATTTATTATATTTGTCCCAATCGTGGCTATAGCTTCGAAAATATTTCTTTCTTCGAAGAATTTTTTTATTCTGAATATATATTATTAAGTAGAATTTTAGAGGTCCCATAATTCCGGATCTTTTTGAGATATTCTATATAATTTATAATATTCGTGCCCGAATATAGCAATTTGAAGATCTCTCCGGATTTGAAATTATTGCACGTACTATTATTGTAGCCGAATATAGTATTTTGGAAGCTCCAGCAATCGAAGAATATTACTCATATTATTTTTAAAATCGAAAGCACCTCGGAGAATTTTCTACGCGTTGTATTTTCACTCCACAGCAGCATTTGGAGGCCCGCCCCCACCACTCGAAGAGCACTTCCACTTTCTATATTTGACTTCGCGAAGAATATTATAATTTGGAGGCACCGCCACTCGGAAAACGTTCCACGCACGAAAATTTTTGAATTCGAAATCTTGTGGCGCGATACTGCGGTCATTTGGCATAGTGGTTATAGCGAGGCCATTATTAGTCAAGGCATTCCTGAAGGTGACGCGCTGGGGCCATTTGGGTACCCAGTTCTGCTGGACGCCTTGGTCCGTGAATTGCTTGCACATAATTGTGGATTAGGTATCGGTTGGGTCATTTTTAATATTTAGAAAAGGCGGCATTGGTCTGACTTAGGTCAGCCTGATCCTGCCTTGGTTGCACTTCTTAAATCTGCCTTGCGCTCTACCTCCCCTAATACCCTCCTTCCCTCCCCCAAGCTACTTGACGAAAGGAAGCTTCCGCCTTTCTCAACGATGTGGCTCCGCCACGGATTACAGCAATCCTCCATACCGACGACGCCGTGCTGCTTGGATGTTGCAAATGGTCCGTAGATATTTTGATAATTGGGGCCTTCAAGCAGAAAGTTTCCTTTCATATAATTAAGAAGAAAATGGTTGTTATGATCGCACCCAGTCCTGCAGGCAGCTCAGGTCCCCCGCCTCCTATCCCCACGGGAATTACGGGTCAGGAGGATCGTGCCTTGGGGTTCAAGATTGGCCATAAATTACTGGACTTGTATTGGTCTGCCAATCTGATCCTTTCAATAGCTCTGCGCACCAGGCTCGCCATCGCACAGAAAATCTTCGCACTGCTTGCAGGATTGGCCCAGCGTGATGCCCTGCCGCTTCACCTGGTCTCTTCGATTTTTTGGAGTACAGTTTTTCCATCATTATGTATTGGCTCGTGGCTGCTGGATATTGCGCCAGATGCACAGAATATATTGGATTCCATCTTTAAATCCTGGGCTAGGCAGCTTCTTGGAACCAGCGAATGGCAGAATGCAGCAACAGCCTTGTCGGAGTTGGGGTGGGATTCTTGAAGGTTTTTTTATGGTGGTCTCATATGTGGCCCAGCATAGAATTAAACTTTGGTCCATAAGCTTTGATCTATGCCGGCGGAAGATCTCTACGCTGGTATCTTCCGCTGCTCGCATGCTTGGCCAACCTCTTGGGCGCACCAGACATAGGCCCTGCTCGAAGCCTATAGCATCCTGGATTTCCCCAGCTGGATGTCCCATGAGAGGGCCCTGGAGAAGTATCAGCTGTGCCTAAGAAGCCGCTACAGAGAGCTTAGTTTGCCGGCCTGGGCGGCCGAGGCTGAAAAATCTAGCAAGGTGCCTCCATATCTGAGCTTCTAGCCGTGTCATAGCACCTTGCCACCTGGCTGCAACTTGCGGCCTCGCTACCGCTTTGTTGGGAAGACCGGCAGTCAGTCATATCTTTGGGTCGATTGGGCGCAGGATTTCCCCGTGATATGTATCGTGATGATAAGCTAAGCCGGGCGCGATTATAATACTATTTTCTTTGCAATAAAGTGGATCGATCTGGCCTACTACATCTTCTCAAAGAGAGCGCAGTATTCTGGTATTGGTACCGCCTCTTGTCAGATTTGAAGCCGTAACGAGAGTCTGCCTCGGCCGCGGAGAATATCAAGGCCATCTTATCGTGCCCTCCCAGGTCTCGACTCTTTATTTATATTCTGAGGATGACCGCAGATATCGATAAGAGGGTGCAGCACTTCTGGCTTGACGGAGCCTCTGGGGGAACGAAAAAGGTGAAGTCGCAGTTGGCGCCAGAGAGATAACTTCCAAGCTTGTCAAGGCTTGTTTAGCTTCTCTTTGTGGCGGAGCCATTACGTTGCAACTTCTCAAGGATTGAGGGATTATCTGTGACTTGCCCCGAGTCGCACTATCCACAGCCACTTAACAGATTGAGGAGGAGTCTACAGGCACGTACTCGAAAGCAGCATTCTGGATTTTGGATACTGCACTTCTTCCGAAATATTCGTGGATTCGATAGCACCCAGACCCTTGTCCCGACCTACCGGCATATTCTAGACTTCTTCGAAAACATGGTTGAGTTCGGGCGCGACTTCAATTTTTACGATGTCGCATCCGGTTGCACCAATTCGTTATTATGGAAGCCTTGTGTGTGTGCGAGCGGAAGCGACCTTATTTTTTGTGTTGTTTTTCTCGGTCACGCCTGCTATTTATTCCTGGACGGCAAAGCTGTCTGCGATCGGGCATGATCTATTATTTTGCGAGGTCTCACTCGATCGATTCTAATATTTTCTTATAGTCGACCGGAATGGATGGGGCGGGTTCGAATTTTGCGTGATCACTCTTAAATATGCCTATTCTTTGCTATGGAAAGCAAGGATGGGCAGGATCGATTATGATCTCATCTATTAATAGGGTCATATCTGGTCATATTCATTATATCTGATAAAAGGAAATGCTGGATACGATCTAGATCTATTTATTATGAGGTCGTACCTATTATCTAATATAGAAGATAAGAGCGGACGAGAAGTTGATCATTATCAGGGCATCTAATTATATCTAATATTTATTATAAAAAGTAATGGTGGTTACGACCAGAAATATCTTTATTCTCAATGGCGTTCCCGATCGTATCCAATATTTGTTTTCCATCAGGCAGGGATAGGTATGATTAGATTCGATCTCAAATTGGCGATAGCATATCTAAATATATTTATAGATTCTTCTATATACTATATCTATATTTGAGAATTATATTTCGAGAAACCACTATTCGAAGAATATTCCATATAATTTATTTCTATTCCAACATAATATTTTGGAGGTCCCACAGCTCCGGACTCTTTAGGATTATATATATTTAATCAATATATATATATATATTCGAAGATCTCATGTTGAAAACCCATTATTTTGAATATGTTCCATGCAGTATATGGAACGCTCTCCGAAAGGTGGGACCTTCAAAAATCTTATTTGTGAGAGGAATTGTCAAATATAATATATAGGATTCGGTCCGAAATAGTCCCGAGTTATGAAGAATCCAAAATATTGGTTTCGTCATCATGTGTAATTTTCTTTGAATAGTAGGGTCTCGAATATAGTTTTCGAGTAAATCATAGCCATCCGACGAATTGAAGATTTCGCTATTAAATGAGTGCGACCCGATACGGCCTCGAAAAAATAATTTTATACCTAATCATACTCAACCTTGCTTTCTATATTAAATAAAAATTATAGTCAATAGATAATCTTATAAGAAGAAAGAATATTCTTATCTATTTATAAAAATAATTATTCTATTCTTTATCTTCCTTATTTCTAACATCAAATTATATATGAAATCTCAAGAATAATGAAATCACATATAATCGTACCTATACTCTTTTATAAATACGATTTCGAAAAATTATTTTATTTATAATTTAAAGAAATATACTATAGAAATAGATTCGATAATATGCATTTCTATCTTTTATTATCGCTCCCAAATATATCAATTATTTTGTATGTAAATTCTAAAATAACGATCAAATAAATTATAAGATTATCTCCGCCTGGCGGGCCGAAAACCTGGATCAGAATCTTTCTGCCCCGCAACCCCAGCAAAGTTTAGATTCGATGGCATTTTGAATGATATATAGTAGTAATTGAATAGTCTATTTCGAGCCCAAGGCAGGCCCAACCCTTCACCTCCCCCACGCCCCAGCAAAGCTTGGATGCGATAGTATTTTGAGTGAAGGAAATAGGAAAAATATAAAAATTTTTATTCGAGCCCAAGGCAGGCCCAACGGGAACAGCACAGGGAGGTAAAGTAAACAGAAGCAGCCACTCTACGCCCTGCCGCTCAAAGGAGAGAACCAACCAGGCAACAACAGATCCACTCGACCCCAATTTCGACGGAAAAGGAAGAAGGAACAAGGGTGGCAGGGGCAAAGGACGAGATAAAGGAGATAAAGGAAAAGTCCGTTAAAGGAGCTTGGATCTCTCAGGTTCGCGCACCCCAGGGCTTTTTTGGGTCATTGCGAAGAAACGCAAACTCCAAATCGTTTTGGGCCACTGTGAAGAACAGTGCCCATGTCGGCCTAACGATTTGAGAGTCACAGCAACAACGACAACGCCGACTAACCCGGAACTCTAACGATCTGGCCTCGGCCCAGCGCAGGTCGAGCTTCTTCACACAGGATGCCCGCCTCGACAACTCTTCCAGGTTGCATGCTTCGCAAACAATCGCAGTCGTCTGACACTGACCGCCGAAACAGGGCTCGCAATACTGAGACGATTGTCAATGGCACTAAACTAACTGCGAAGAGTTTACCGAGCACAGTGCGGAACCCGTCGAGCCAGACTCCCAACCTGCACAAGACTTAACAGGCTCAAAGCATGTCCAAGCCCAAGCTGTGCTGGCAGGTGCAGTGAGCTTCCTCTCCAAATGCATGCAGGCAGAAACAGAGCACGACTGCAGCTTCACTTGCTCCCAAAACGGCCCGTGATTTCATAAGTCTCACTGCTTCCAGCTACCGAACGTTTGGTTTTTCGTCTATCTCCACGACGAACTCTGGAAAGGCCTGGTATCTGTCGAAGATCACGAACTCTTGGTGCGACTGGTGCGACTGATGATGGCCCTCCATGGGCCCGGGGTTGGCCACGACAGAGTCGAAACCCTCCGGCGGGCGCTTTCGGTTCCGCTCCACCTGCTTTGTGTAATATGGCTTGCCGAGCGAAACTCTAGCAATTATCATGTAGCGGGCCTCATCTGTAATACCTGAACGACAGTACTGCCAGCTTTTGCAACTTTGGCTTGCAAAATACGTGCCATGTCCATAAAACCCGGCAGTTGCAAGACGGAAGTCGAAGCCACGAGCGACAATCGAACGAATGTTGGAAGTGCATGTCCCGTGAAACAAGAAGACTTCATTCACAGGTGCTCTCACATCTCGATCAAGAAGTCGCTGGGCAAGCTCAGACAACTCCTCCCCGATTGGTGGATTTATGTCGGGAACCCCGCTCTGGCTCTGCTCCTGCAAAGTTGAGCGGCACTGGCTGTACTTCCTGAATAGAGTCGGGTGCTCGATCCTCCAGGCCCGCTTGATGGTGACCGTGTCTAAATCACAGGCAGATAGGCCTCGGAAGGCGAAGTGGTGGAAGACGGACCCCCTTACCACCCTCTCCATCTCAAGTCCCTGCTGGCTCGGCACAAGGATGCGGACCCTCTTAAAGATCTCCTCATCAGGTCCGATCGCCAAATAACGTGGCAAGTCTTTCTTCTCAAGGCCTGACGACATCGACCAGTACTCTGGCACATCCAAACTGATGCGAATGCTGCGCTTCTTCTTCGTTCTCGTATTCTCTTGAATGAGATCTTGAAGGCTGATGTGGTAAGTCTCATCACCGCGATCGAAGTCCAGCTCAGGCCTACCAGCACAGAGTTCTTCCCAAATCTTGTCGATCGAATCTGCTGGATAGGAAGCCCACCCGCCGGAGTCTGTTTCATGCTCGATCTTCAGGAAAGGCTTTGCCTGCAGACGCTCGCTCTTGGCCTGAGCTTCCCGCATTGCGCTGAAGGCAGTGTCTTTCTCCATCCGGAGAGACTCCGCAGCCTGCCGCGCCTTCTCCTCATGACGCATGGCGTCCATCATCTGACTCCTGTCTTGGGAGCACTGTTGGCGCTCCTGCTTGGCTTCCCTCTCTGCTGCCTTCAACTGTAGTCAAAGCCTTGCCATCTCGTGCTTCAGATTCTCTGTCTCTCCCTGCTGGGTCCTTTTGACCCGAGCCAGCTCTTCCCGAAGCGACTTTATCTCGGCTTCTGCATCTTCAAGCTGACGTAGGGCTTCTTCAAGCTGAGGCCGTAGGTCTTCTTCCTCGGCCTCGTCTTCTTCCTCGGACTCGGCTTCTTCCAGCTGCTCTCGCAGCTCAGCTTCTTTAATGCAGACCTCCTCCTGCTGGCCATTCTTGGTCTCAGCCTTGGGCTTGCTGACAGCAAACAGGGCTTATCTCCATGCACCCTGACAGCGCCCACAGACAAATCTCCGGACGACGTAGATTGGTGCATATCCAAACACGGAAGATTCATGCTATAACAATCATGAATCCCCCGCGCGATGCCCCTCCCTCAATATGAACCTCCGACTCCCTCAACTAACGAGATTCATTTCACTTGTGATGCGACAGTCTTCAACCATGAAGGGCTGCTCCTCCCTGCGATTCGCTTCTGTCTGCCACGTGTGCCAACAGACAGCCTTCGGGGCTTATTTTTGCAGTGGGGACCTTTCCAAAGACAAGACTATTGCTGTCTTGCATCGTGGTCTCGTCATGCGTTGCGCTGTATTCAAGTCTTCTGGTTGTATTCCTGCTCCTCCATAGAAAACATCTCTCCAAGCAAAACTGTACTTCCAGAAGGCATTAGAAAGCTCGCGCTGGAGGTGCGTCAGAGTATGACAAAGTTGATGGACTGTCGGAACTGCATGGGCTGAAAAGGATGTAACGCAAAGAGACTTGCTGGAAGGTGGATTGGTCACACTTGTGTGACGCATGGACAGGTGTGCCAATGTATTGGCAGCTTTGGCAATGAATGGGTTCCGAGGACGTCGAACACACAAAGCACCAAGATAAACTGCTTTGACTTCTGACAAGCGACAGTTCGCAGCGGCGTCAGCCAGTCATCCCAATCGTCATCGTCCATGCATCCAGCTAGAAAGACAGGGCTCCGCCTGAATCTTTGAACACAAATGCTGCGAATCAACATTGATGTCGAAGATGCTTGCAACCTCCTGTGCGCAACTCAAGTCTACTAAGCAAGTTCGTGCTGCTACTTGCGACTTAGGGAGCTCAAGAGGCCAACAGCGACAGACACACATACACATACATTCCTTCTCTCTGTTCTCCAGCGCAGCCTTCTTTCTTGCGCCATGGAGGGGGTGGGGCTTCCAGGCTTAAGGGGGCAGCCTCGTCTCTCTCTCTCCTTCCACAGAGGCTCCTTCTTTCAGCAGGGTTAGGGGAAAGGGAGGACGAGCCCCCCTCACCCGCGCGCGTTAGCGCCCCCGACATGTGGGGAGCGAGAGGTGAGAAACTCATGCGACAGCGAGGCAGATGCGGCAAGCGACAGACAGTTGCGCACATTAAAAACAAACATAATGGAATAACTTAGAGTGACAAAGGAGTCTGTCGTGCTTCAACTGGGGAGTGCTGCCCACTTGAATGCTACCAAGTGTTGGTTTCTCCTTCAACTTGTCCCTCCATGGGGCAAAGCCCCGAGTAACCTAGCCCGTCAAAAACCACAGTAACCTCGGACTAAGGGGAACTGTCACCGTTGAAGGAGCAAGGGTTTTTCCCTCGTACACTTGTGCTGGGCTACAACATCGAAGGCAGGACCCTTGTAAGGGGGAGAACCCCTTCACCAAAAGAAACTAGGCATGAGCAGACGAAAGCAACAACGGTCCCACTTCGAAGCATTCGTTGGTGCTACACCTGACCTATTCCATCCCCCAACCCCGAAGCAAGCAACAAGCAATCCCAGACCCAGACAACCTTCTGAAGACAAAGGAACCTGAACGAAACTAAACTAAGATCAAGGGGGCCTTCCCCTGTCACTACGATCTGTCCAGGCTGTCTCAAGGCGCACTCTCAGGAGGGCTCATGGTTTCTTTTGCGCAGGAGGGGCAGCAGCGCGTCCGGGTCATCCCCGCCGTCAGCATCAGCTGTTTCCGTCCACAGAGTCATTCTCATCCATGGCTGCATGTAGGCGCCGTCGTCGGTGCGAGGTAGCGCTGGGGGAGATTCCCCCTTCCATTCCATGAAGTTCTCCAGCTTGGAAATCTTGCGTAGGCAACAGCACTGTACTCGCCTCAGACCC